TGCTTGCTTCTGTCTTCTATACCTCAAGAGATTGCCTCAGGACACAATCCAATCTTGTAGATTGAGTCCTGCCTTACTAATACAACTGCCGCCCATCCTCCCTCATTAACGTCATAGAGGCAAGATTTACAACATATAGGAATATCACATTATACCAGGAATCATGGCCCAGCCAAATTGATACACACATTTTTTGGGGGACATAATTCAATCTATGACATCAACCTAGAAAGTCTTTCCCTCCTTCTTGTTTCTAATGAGATTCCTTCAAGACCCAGCTCAAAATGTACTTCTTCAGTGAAGCGGAGCCTTTTCTAAACTCCACAGCAGAATTAATGTTCTCTCCTCTGTATACCACAGTGCTGTGTTACACTGCAGATTTCCCCATTAGAATGTGGTCAGAGCAGGAAACATGAATTATGCCTTAGATAGACATCTTTGTACCTCTCTTCCTCTCCCTTTCCCCTTCTCTTCCCCCATGCCTGTGCCTGACACATAGTAGACATTCAATAAATGCTTGTTGAATGAATTATGAATGAATAATTAACAAATTAATATATTTTCTAGGGTAATAGAACTCATGTCTAGTGAATCACTAATATTAAGGTAGTTAATAAAGAGTAAGGGTCATTCAACCTGAGAGTCAGTGTGTTATACTGAATAGAACCAGAGCTTTGGGGTGAGACACATCCAAGTTTGTTTTCAAGATCCACCACTTCCTAGCAGTATAACCTTTGGCAAGTGACCTCACCTCAGCGGGCTTCACATCTTTGATTTGCATAATGAAGCTACTAATATCTACCTTACAGACCTTTGAAAAGATCTGAACCACCCAACACAGTGTCTGACAAAAAGCAAAAAACCAGGTGAGCATTAAACGGTAGCTATTATTGTTAGTCTTATCAGCTAGTACAATATTTCAGTTTGGTACATTTGGCAGGAAGTTAACAATAGCCTGTTGCCACCACACAATTTAACATTTGATTATTTATGCTAGTTGCCTAATGCTTGCTAATTTTTTCTCTTTGACTACATTGTAGTCCTCTTATGTCATACTTTAAGCACTATTCACAGTACCTAGCCGTATACTCGATTTTTAACTACTATGGTAGAACAATGGCTTATGGTGAAAAGAGAAGACGGAGTTTGAAGCCAGTGGATTGGGATAAGACAGAGATATACTAAGTAACTTTTCTTTCTCTGAGCCTCCTTAGTTCCCTCATCTGTAAAATAAAGATAATAGACTTCTTGAGTCTTTTCCAACTCACAAATTCTGTGATTCTATGATTAGGCAATAGATGCTTGGGAAAATCCCTGTTCATGAAATAGAAAATTGCACTGTAGTTAAATAAACCACTAAAGTCAGATAGAAAAATGTAGCTCCAGATAGGCTGACCGTCTTACGTTGGGTTCTCTAGAGAAGCAAAACCAGTGAAGCATATATTTGTATACATAGATATATATATAGATATATATATATAGATACACATATATATATATATAGAGAGAGAGAGAGAAAGAGAGAAATTTATCTCAAGGAAATGGCTCAGGCTGTTGTGGAAACTGGAAAGTCCCAAAGTCCGTGGGTCAGGCATAAGATGGAGACTACTCCTGACTCACATGGCTACAGGGGCTGATGAACCCAGAATTGGTACGTCAGATGGTAGGCTGCTCGCTCACAGGGCTGCAGGAACTGGTGAATCCTGAAATTGGCAGATCAGGTGACAGGCTGCTGGCTCAAGTCCCAAGAACCGGAGGTCAGATGATGATAAGTTGGAAACAGGTTCCAGAGCAAGCAAGCGAGCTTTGCCGTAACATCCATATACATATTGGGTGTAGGCCACAATCCTGGGGAAACTCCTAATTGGTTGATCACATCAGATCACATCATGGAGGTGATTACATTGTATCACAAAATGGAGGATAATTACATCAGGTCACTAAATGGAGGATAATTACATAACACTGAGAATCATGGCCTAGCCAAGTTGACACAACATTAACTATCACAGTAACCAACCATCTAAGTTTGCCCAGAACTATCCCAGTGTTAACAGAAAAAGCTCTGTGTCTCATGAAACCCCTCAGTCCTGGGAAAACCAGCGAATTCCTCATCCAAGCTTCAAGGAAGTTTGACAAAAAAACACATTTTTTTTTCTTTGTAGAAGTTTAAGTTATTTTTTTCTATGCTAATTTTCACATTAACAAACAGTGTTTGGTCTTGGGAGTTGAGATGAGCAGTTGAGTAGGAGTTAAAACAAGAAGAGCCCATCATATACAAATAAACCTCCCTCTCTGGGTAATGATATTTTAATGTTGTTGAATTAGTTGTTATGGAGAACCTTTTATGTACCAGGTACTATTCTAGGCTATACTGTCAAGGGTAGAGATGTGGAAGATTCTATCCCTGCACCAGGCTGTGTGTGTGTGGAGAGGATGGAGGATGTAGGAATATACCTAGAGAAAGGCCTCCACATATCACATTGAGGTTTATAACACCAAAAATACTAAGACTGTACAGGGAAGGAAGGGGAGGCCAGTGAGGGCTAGAAGAAGTGGAATTTAAGGCTTCATAGGGTTTATTTTGATCATGGAAGTGGATAGGTAGACAATCTGAGGGATGGTGAATACACTGCTATGTAATGCACAGGTCCTGCCAATAACTGAATGTCCATGGATCCCCACCTCTTGTAAAAAAATACCGAGGAATCTGAAAGGGGGCTTACAAAAGGAAATCTTCCAAGTGATAATCAGGCAAGTTTGATAGTGAATGGGGTTTGAGAAGCCTGGGAGTGAGAGAAAGGAAACCAGGAAAACAGAGCTACTACCCAAATGATTCCTGAGATTTTCCCTCTGAGTTTTTCGCTCTTTTATAAGGTTATCTCACTTAACTCCCTGCTGTCACAATCTTGTTTGACCCTCCCCATTGAATTAGGGAAGTTGATATGTTGTAGGGAAAAGGGCCCAAGCTTTGACCGAACAGGCCTTTACTACTTACTAGCTATGTGACTTTAGGCAAGTGAACTAGCCTTGCTGGGTCTCTATTTGCTCACTGATAAAACAGTAGCAAATATGCCTACTTCACTGGGTTGTTCTGAGAAGTAATGTGTAACATGCCTAGTATTGTAGCTAGAACATAGTAGGGGTTCAACTAATGGTCTGTCTTCTATATTATTCTAGGCTTATGATCATTTATTTGATCATTTGTGTAAGTAAGAGGATGAATCCCCTTTAAGTTTCCTCAAAGAGAGACATTCCCAAGAAGGCTTTGAAAACACGGAAGAAAAGCATTAGGGTCAGTTTGGACCACTCCTTCTCTCATCTCAGCTGGAGATGCCATCCACTCCCTCCATTACCCTACCTTGAAGTTTGTATGTGTGTGTGTGTGCACGAGTGTGTTGTTTAAGTCAGGATACTAATCCCTCTCAAGCTCACAAAGACTTAAGTTCTTTTCCCTGACTTGGCTCTCCCTGTCTGTCATGCAGGCAGGGCATAGAGGACAGGGCAAGCTGTACGTATAGAAGAGATATAGTTGGCTATAATGATCTGTATGTGTTGAGAGCTGATTCCTGCCACCCTGCTCCTGTGTACTGCAGAAACAGATTAATGGGCATGAGCTCTAGGGCAAATTTCTGTTGCAGGGACTAAGACCTTGTCATGTTACTGGGAGGGCTGGGTCACTGAGGTATCTCATTATCTGCTCTAGTGCTCTTCTTCGTTTGGTTAACTTGTGAAGCCCAAGAAGTTTGCCTTCAAAGCTGTTTGGTGTCTCTGTCAGCACTCTCTTTGCTTTTGTAGGAAGTTCCCTTGACCCTTACCTCCATCCTCAGCTCCCCCAGCCTTCCCCCTGAGCCTTCTCCAGCCTCCTCCCAACCTCCCCCAAACTCTCTTCTTAACCTTTCCTCTACTTTCCCGCTAAAACCTTCATATCTCTCCCAATCTCCCTCCCCCAGCCCTTCCCTAGTCCCTGTCACTACCTTTGGAATGCTTAGGACTCCACTCAAACTTTGAGCCTTTTCCACTCCCTTGCCTCCTCTCTCCTTCTCAATTTGCATGTCCCCTATCCCCTTACCTCAGCTAAGCCAAGAAATAATTCAAACACAAGTAAAAATTGTCAGTATTTATTTTTAAAAAATATCACTTGCAAATTTATTTTCTTTATTAAAAATGTTGCAATCGTGATAAAGGAAATGTTGATATAAAAAAATCAAGTTAGTCTAACAACTACACATTTTCAGTGTTAGTTTCTAATATCTGTTCTTCTGCATATTGTTAGCATAAATTGTAATTAAAATATCCCTACATAATGAAGGGTGCAGAGAGAAGGGCACACAGGATTGGTCAAAAAAAGCAGCTCAAAGTCATCAGTTTCAGTCCATGATCCAATAGGCAGGGTCATTGTACAGCTAGCCAGAGGTTCAGTGGAAGATTAGAGGAGCAGCAACTGCTGTTGACAGCTGAGGTAACAGAAGAAGGGATGTCATAAGCAGTCACTAGGATGCAGGATCTACCCAGCAATTATTTCATCACGACGTCTTCTATTCTACCTATGTCTGAAGTAATTGTAGTGACAATAACAGGATGGAAAAGACACAGTGCGAGTACTCCACTCTATGTTTGGGTCATGTGTCTCAAGCCAGTGGATTCCAAGAATCAGAGGGTACCTTGGAGCATGAATTATGTCAAACTGGAGCTCTTCAATGTGGTTTCCAGTTTTTACTTCAACAGGTGGTGTTTCCTTAGTTAAGGGTCCATTGATAAGCGGATGGCCATCGAAGGTTTCGAGCATCAGAGGGAATACGTTATTGCGGATTGGCAGCTTCTCTCGAAGAACCACAGAATGGTCAATGCTGTTCTGTAGGATTCTGAATCCACCATTGCTTGCTCAAAGAATTGTCGTCTTCCTAGTTGAATTTCAACAGTTAGCCATAGGGTATGGGACATGGATATTGGAAGAGAGGGGGACGCATATTTGTAGACTGGCCCGCCTGGGGTCCCCCTTACCCCCGGGCCTCGATGTTTCCCGCCTGCTGGACACTATGAGGTTTAACAGGGCAATCTCTAGCAAAATGACCAGGATGACCACAGTAGAGGCACAAATGGCCTTCAAGGCAGCGGGCCTGTTCAGCTTCACTGAGGGGTGGGTGGTGGCTTGCAGCCTGCACAAACTGGTTTTGAACCGGTGGGCTCTCAGGACTGTCACCCTCTTCAGAGGGGCTTGCTCCTGATGGATTGGAATCAGGCTTACCACCTAAGTTCTCTTCTAGGCTGATGCACTGGGGGATCAGATCAAATAAGTTGGTGGCTGGGCTTCTGTGAGACAGTTCATATCAAGAACTGGAAAGCCCTTCCTGAAATTGAATACAGAGAGTACTTTCATCCCTGGTTAGCTCTTGAGCAATGAGATGGAAGTGGGTTGTGTACTGGTGAACAGGTTCCTCCCCTTGGCAGAGCTGAAGGATGCAGTGGCTGGTACCTTGTATGTTTTCTGAATTGCCGGAAGTATCCTGGAGCACTCATATGAAACTTTCAAATTGTTCCAGCTGAGGGCTTTGGATATCTACTAAGGGCTGGAACCATTTTCCTGCCTCACCAGAGAAATGCTGGCTAACGAAACTCACCAAGGCTGCTTTGGTGGGATACAGGTGCCATCTGACTCCCATGTAATTATTCAGTTGAACCAGGAACTCAGGAAGCATCTGGACTTGCCCACTGAAGACTAAAGGGTATTCTAGGGGGAAAGCTGCAGCCTCTAACCTACTGGGGGACTGTGGGAACTCTGGAGCTACTGATATCTTGATGGTTATTAGATTGTGCAGGGGTTCCTGGGGTGCTGAGAGCTCTAGGAAATTCTGAGCATCTGAGTGACCCAGAGGCTCCTGGAGAGCTGGTAACTCAAGGGGCTCCAGGCGTGCCGAGGTCTCCTGGTGTGCCACTGCCTCCTGGGACTCCTGGGCATTTGGGGGATCCTAGGATTCTAAATTCTGGGGCTCATTGACTGTTGGGGCATCTCGGGTTTCTGAGGGTTCTTGAGCCTCCTTGGTTGCTGGGGGCTTGCGGGCTTCCTGGACCATTGGAGGCTTGTGGGGCTCCTTGGCCTCTGGGAGCTCATAGAGCTCCCAGGATGATGGGAGCTCATGGACCATTGGAAGCTCCTGGGGGTCCTCGGTTGCTGGGGGATCCAGGGGCTTCTGGATCTCCTGGGCCATTGGAGTCTTCTGGGGCTTCTGGGCTGCTGGGTGCTCCCAGGCTGCTGGGAAGTCTTGGGACTCTGTGGGCTTCTGGGACTTCTTGATGGTTAGGGGCTCTTGGAGTTTCCAGGCTGCTGGGGGATCCAGGGGATCTGAGGGTTGCTGGGGATCCTGGAACTCTGAGAGCTTCTGGAGTGGTTCATCCTCTTTGGCTGCTCGGGGCTTCTGGAGCTCTGAGATTTGTGACAGGAGGGCAGCATTTTCTTCCATAAGCCATTGCACATGGGCCTGCAGAATTTCATTCTCCAATTTCAGAGCAACATAGGAGGCTGTTAAGTCCTCCACCATCTTTTTGAGGAAATGGGCTTAGTATGACGTTTGCTGCCAAAAGAGATTGAATGGGCTCTTGTGAGGTCTTTCCCAGAAGTTGCTCACAGGCAGATGTCAGCCTCCGTGAGTTTTCCAAGGGGTGGAGACTTGGGTCTTGCCAAGGCTGATTACCAGGAGGTCACTGGGAGCCTCCGGAGCTCAGCAAGGGGAGGTGTCAGATACTCTGTAAAGAGAGTGGGAGCTGAGCATCAGAAACTGTGGAAAGTAGTCATTTAAAATAAATCAGAATTAAATCTGCCTGACAGTGCTGAGTTTCTTTCATCAAGAGCTCAAGTTCATGAGCTGGGGCGTATTTGCTGGCTCTGGTACCATGAAATTTTAAGAACAGCACCCGACTCACACTACGTATATCATTTTGTATTCTTCTTTCAAAAGTTAACGTTGTATCAGAAGCAATTTCTCCATATTCTTTTCTGTTTTACATAGTCTTTAATTTCTAATGGCTGCTTAACATCCAAATGTAACACTTGAATTTCAACAGCAGTTTTCAATGACTAAATCATATGTTTGGGGAATGTGGGGATTTCAGGCTCTGTAGTGGGCCAACCCAAGAAATATTTTTGGATAACTGGGGTAGGAAGCGGAGGGGAGCCCCTTCTGACACCTCAGAAATTATACCACATAACTGACACATAAGATCAGTCTCAGGAGAAAACAAGCGAAAGTTGGAGATACGTATACGTGTGTGTGTGTGTGTGTGTGTGTGGAAAAGAAGCAAAAGTTGCATATATATATATATATACACACACACTTATATATACTCAGAAGACACATGCATATTATTTATAAAATTCCTCAAAATAGTTAAGAAAATAATCTTTATAAGTGTACATTACCATTCAGAGACTTAGTCCAGGAGCTCACCTGTCTGCACAACCATCACTGAGTAAGGAAGTGTGTGAATGGCAGTGGACGCTTGCCTTTTCTGCACACACTGAACTCAGACAAACACACCCACTCACAGAACACGTTCCAACTCTACCTTGTAACGTAGCTATTTCAAGGGTGGAAATTTTTTTTTTACAGTACCTCACAATTTAGTCTCAAGTACGATGCTGTGCTAATGCAAGGTAGCCTCAGGTACTCAGTCCTTGGTTACTTTAATAAATATTTGGCCAGGAAATTAGCAGTAATACCACTGCCCTTGTGAAAAGTTGCAAACATTTATGAATGACCACAGTGGTTTGGGACTTTATTTTGTATGTCTGTCTCATTTAACCTTCCTCACTCCATCCACAATGAATCCTTTGTTTAATTCTCACTTAGAGAGTACCTTGCCTCAGCCCCTTCCCCTGCCCACCTACTTAGTCCTTAGGGTCTCTTCCTGCAATATTTTCTTGGAAACTTTACCATGGATAGCTCTAAGCAGGGTCTAACAGGGTAAGACTGTGGGGAAGGCCAACTTTGTTGATGGATACTTGCAACACTCTTGCAGGGCCCTGGTTTCCTTCTGTATGCCTTAGCCGCTCAAGAGTTCTCGTGATTTCCTGATCTGCTCAGATACCCAAGGCAGCTCCTAGGTACCCCACTAAGGACTGGCCTCTGGGGAAGTGACTGTGCTCAAGATCTCACCTAGTCTCATGCCAGATCAGTTACACCCTGGACGTGGGCCGTGTGTACATTTCAGGCAAGGCTAAGTGGACTGTTATTTTCATCCCAGTAAAGAGTGGGAGTAGGTTGCATTTGGTCACTTTAAATCACACATTGAGTCAGCCATGGTCCCAATTACCTTTTAAAAATGGTCAAGTCTGCATTAGTCAGCAAATTGACAGACTGGACTAGCCGAACTCAAGTGCAGAGTCTTTGAAAAAGAAAGTAAAATCTTCTGCAAATCAAGTTATATTCCCTCCTCACCTTTTAATGTTTTATTCTTTAGAAACACAACACACATAAAAATATCACCATCTTCAGAGAATTATGTGTTCTATTTATGTGAATTTTTCAGATAACTCAAGGTTTCCCTTTTAGAAGCCAAAACACACAGTTCATGTTTACCTTACCGAATTATAAAAAATTCAGAGAAATATTTACAACGTGTGTTACATGTCTTCCATCATTCTTTAGTAGGTGATTTTGAACATAATTCACCATATTTTAATGGTATGGGGTCATCCTTACACAAACCAGCTAGTCTACTCTGTTGTAGCATGGTGTTGCTTTCTGAAAGCTACTGAGCAGTATAAAGTGGTGTGTCTCCAAACGAAATACCTCTGCCTTCCGACTTCTTGCATTTGTTTTCTTTCGTATTTTTTCTATTCTTACTATCAAGTTGCCACATAGCCCTTTACACTGTTACCTATATACTTGTCTACACTAAGTATGACCTTTGGCAAATACACAATCCCTCTAAAATTTAGACTCTAAACTTTGGTTTATGCAACTGTAATACTGAACTATTAATAGTACTTAACTTTAGAAGATTGTTGCAAAGATTTAATGAAATAATGCATGTAAAAGGCTTACAATGATTCATGGCAGCTAGTAAGAGCTCAAGGAAGGTTAACTATACTAGTAAATGCCAGCTGGCTGGTTAGCTAGTTGGTTAGAGCATGTTGCTAATAATGCCAAGGTCACAGGGTTCAATCCATGTACAGGCCAGCGGTTCTTATTTTAAGGATCCCTAGTGGCACAATGGTTAAGAGCTCAGCTGCTAACCAAAAGGTTGGCAGTTGGAGATAACCAGCCTGGCAATTTGCTCCCTTAAAGATTTCAGGCTATGGGGCAGTTGTACTCTGTCTTATAGGGTCACTATGAATCAGAATGGACTCGAGGACACAACAACATACTGGTAATAATAATAACGATGATAATGATGTAGTAGTAGTACCTGTAGCAACAGTAACCCTATTTTAATTTATTCTTTTTAGTCATCTGTGAATTGGGAAAGAGATAGATAAACTTGTTAGAATTATGTAGGGGCTGAGTAAAGGCTATCATAAGAAGAAAGTCCATAATCTGCAGTGCATAGATTTTACAGCACTGATTTTTTTTTTAACCACTCAAGAGATTTTGTGTTTTTTTTTTTTTTTTTCTTTTCTTCCTGGCTAGGATATAGAAAGTCTAGTTTACCAACTAATTCTCTAGAATAACCGCTGGAGGCACCTAACAGGAAGATAAGACGATTAACAAGGGGATTGTTGGGCAGCCAAAATAGATGTTTAAAAAGTCCATGAACTAAAGCACCAAACAGTGCCTTGCTTACAGGCATGTTTATTCAGTAGGTAAACACAGGGACCTTTCTTCATTCCCTGCTCCACAACCTGCCTACTAAAGACCGAAGACCAAATTCAAACTCCTTAAATAAAAATTTCCAACTGACTAAACATAGAGAATTATTCTCTTTTGAGTGGAAAAAAAAAGCTACATTGACTTTTGTCAAATGCCTAATTTAGTTTAATATCCTGAATTAGTTAAGTAGAATAGGAAAATAATAACATTCAAACTTTCGTCACGTTTCCCGTACACTTTAATCCTTCTTCTTACACTCACAACACTGTGGAATTATGGATCCTTTAGAATGGTTATGCAAACATTTTTAAGTGAATGAGGTTTTGTTAACTGGGCAAATGAATTTTTAGGGAGAAAAAGAAGACAAATATATTCATTTAACATATATAAAAAGACTTCACAATAATAAGAAATGGTTAATGCTCAGTTATGATAAGTTACATATGTTGATTGTTAGCTTAGGGAGAAAGAGAAGGGAAAGGTTGAATGAGATGAAACTCCATTGTGCACATTCCACTGAGAATCGTAATTTTATTTTGTCATCAAATATACTATTTGAAATAGTTTAGGTCTCTGCTGGGGTCTTCCTCCCCAGAGTTTGCCAGGCAGCATCTTCAAGTAACTTGAGTTCCTGCCCTTCCCTCTTCCTGTCCTGGAAGAGAGTCAACAGGACAGGTTATCCCACATATCGCTGGCACAATGCCCAGCTACCCCTTGGGGGCAGTCTCAACCTGGTGTGTGTTTTGTTCAACATGTTATTCCTATGCTTTCAATAGAGCTTGCAGTACTTTCTTAAATTTAACCCGTAATGTGCTTAGTACAGACTGAAACTTTTCAATGCCAACAACACCATATAGCACTGGGAAGGCAAGAGGTTTCCAATTCCTTTAGAATTTTCCTTACTCTTATGGCTGGGATCCAGAGCACTTGACAATACAATGGGGACAGGATCTACCCCCGAACAACTGTAAAGGATTCAAAATTTGTTATCCTTTCACTTCCCTTTATGACGTTTAACATCTTCTCATTTTATTACTTGTGGCATACTCAGGATGCCTTCCCTCTTGATCAAGTGTCACTTTGAGAAACTGAATTTCTACTGAGATACTACCTTATAGGGTTTTAAATAGATCTTTCTTGTGGTGTTGAATTTTTCACAAAGTATTCTGAAAAACTGCAACTCATTCAAGACTTTTATGTTGTGGGAGAAATTCTTGGCATCCTTCAGATCAAATCAGGTAGGTGGTCTTATATTTGGTTTTCTTATAAGCTGGTCCAGTATGGCCTCTAGTGTTTTCTGATTTGTTTAATTATTTCAGTGACCTGGGTCCAGGTTGCCACAGCTAAAGGTTGAGCTAACCAAAACCACAGCCCAAAAGGGAATCAGGAAGATTTTGCTATAATTCCACTCTTGGGAATATCCTTATTTTTTGTAGGGATCTGGCCTCCTCCTCCACTTCCTGGATGCCCAGGATTTGTTATGCTAGCTTAACAAGCAAGCTAATTAATTCTGAGCTGACAGCACCAGAAACCTGACAGCACCAGCAAGACAAAGAGAGAGAGAGGAGAAAGAAGAAGAGAAGAAAAAGGAGGAGGAGAACAACAATAACAACAAAAGAGAAGAAGAGGAGAGGGAAATGTAATACCAGAAAACATAGAAAGAAGCTTTAAAAAACTCAACATATGTAAGTTTTGCTCAGTTAAAGATAAACATTAATTTAATGAGGGGG